ATGCCAAAATTTTGTTGGTTCTGTGTTAATATCTTTTTATAATATGTCTAGGCACGTTACTTTGCAATGTCAGATGTTTACCATATATGAGTACACTAAGTCCTGCCAACCGACCTTACCTTCAGTTCAAACTACCTACATTGAACCTTAACTATAGTGTTCTGCTAAATCTTGCTCCTCTATTCACAATACCTATTCGTTTTACTCTTTAAGTTTTTGACTTTTTATAAAGTAATCTGTTCATTAGGATGCATGCACACATATGTAATATGTTCATAAAGATGTACGTGGAGACCTATTGGAAGCACTCATTAAGAAAGCTAGGGAGATGGAATATGAGGTACGAATATGTCTGGTATCAAGCAATATATTTGCGGTAGCCATAATAATCATAGTCTCAGAGCCTAACATCAAAAAAGGAGGGAGGGTGGCGCTAGCTGATCAGTAGATATGGTGGTGGTCACTAAGGTGAATCACCCCATTCTGCAGGAACAGCAATATGCAATTTGAAGGCTCGAGATATTTCTGATTTTTATGAGGGCTTAGGTCTTATCTTGAAAAAGATAATAGTGAACGCCTTGACAGATCATGCTTCTACCTTTAAATATATACCATTCGCTCAGCCTATTGTTGAGATGCGACCACGCGGGATCTGCACAGATTTATGGGCATCTTATAAATTAACTTGCTATCCATCGTCAGATCTTTAAATACCACTTCACAATGTCTTATCTCATTCATTTTCTAATAACGTCTTTACTTGATCCTCATTATATTCCATTAAACCTAACATTTTATAGCTCTTTATGAGTTTGATTCGACTTATTATATTCCTATTCTCTGTAGGGTACGGTTGTGCACTAAATAGACAAGAAGGCATGAAATAAAGACAACTGGCTTGAAAATAATTGTATTAAAGCCAAAAGTGGACATCATGATAGTATGAAATGTATTGGTTTTATTATACATTGCAAATGAACGTTGTCGGCCTAGGGATTAATTACTTCCCCATTCTGTTTCCCATATAAATGTATTTATTAATGATATATTGCACTCACTTAATTTATTACACTTTAACTTTTCTTAAACAGTTTTCAATCCCTTGTAAACGTTGTACTTACCTCAATATTGGTTGGTTATCGTATGCCTACAACCACGGGATTAAAAGGAAACGAAGTAGATTTTCCCGCGAAACCTGGAGGACAACTGCAAAATTTAATAACTATACTGCCTGGTTCAGACCATGAGTGTAATTATATATATATATATACTTATCGAATTGATGATGCCTGTAAACTGGTGTCCCTCATGTAAAAAATGAGAATATATATTATTATTATTTATCAAATATTTAACAGTTGAAACATTAACTTGTAGACAATCTACGATTTGAGATTATATCATACTTGATCGTGCCTGTAAAAATGGCATGCATTTTCATGTAAATTTATGTTTATATGAAAATAAAAATTATTATTATTATAACAATACATGTTGCCTTCCTTTGAACCCTTTCTAGAATATGTGAGTCCCCTTTAAGACAAGGGCTTGCTGCTTGGGTACAGTATTAGAGTATTGACCTCATCGGTGACGTATATAAGGAGGTGAACACATCTATAGTGATTCCAGTAAAGGCTCTGCGAATTGCCCATAAGAATCCGAAACTACGTGCAGCCACCGTGCGACAGCGTGCCGTAGTTCTTAAATCGTGACTAATTATGACGCCTAAGTCCAAATGAGTCTGAACTGATGGAAGTGTTATTCCCTCTAGTTCGTAGGAGCCGATGCTTATGTCCGATGCGCATGGCTGCACATTTTTCTACATTGATCGGGAGTATTCATTCTTTGGACCAGTTTGACAATTTGTTGAGGTCCTCTTGCAACGCGAACGCATCCGTTGCCCTTCGGCTCTCTCCAGATTGTTAGTTCATCTACATATAGGACCTTAGGGGAGTCGGTGGGCAAAGATAACCCATTTATATACAAAATAGGAGAATTCTGTGTGTCGCGCCTTGTGGCACTCCGCCACGTACTACTTTCCAGGAGGAGAGTTTCGAGTTGATTCGCACCCTCTGCTTCCTATCTCCGAGGATTTCCTCAAGCCACTTTAGTAACCTGCCTTTGATATCAAGACTTTAAAACTTCATGAGTATTTTTTTGTGAGGAGCTTTATAGAAGGCTTTGCTGAAATCTATGAAGACGACGTCAACGGGTCTTCCGTCGTCCCTTGGTTTGACCCAGCTTTCGATTGCAGCGAGGAGACTTGACAGGCGTGAGAGGTTTCCTCGGAAGCCATGCTGTGCTTCAGATAACAAATAGTTGTTCTCCAGATATGCCATGATACTTTCCGTAATGATTCTTCCCAATGTCATGATTAAAGATATCCAGAGGCAACTTCCCTATGACTTTTTGAATGAGATTGAAGTATGTGGATATTTGACCATTTACAGTGACAAATGATCTGCAAACATTATTGGTCCCATATCTTACAATTCCTTCGTGAATTACGCATTATCTTCCCCCACGACGCAACCTCGATTACAGTTGTGAAATGCGCCCTAATGCCGATGAAAAAGCATTAATTTATAATACAACTTCACGACTGTAACTTATAACATAACTGACCGTATATGTAAAAATGGCTTTCATTTCTTGAAAACACTCGTTTATATGAAGATATATACTATCATTAATATTATTCCACATTGAGTACAATTCACTCGTGATGTTACGATGAAAATGCTGACAAAACTATACAGGTGTGTCGCTTATTTTAATTATTACTAAATTTGGATATAAATCAAGAATAGGATTCGGTTTTCTACACACCTAAGTTATATTGGGGAATTACTTCAAGCTTGCATTTTTCCCAAATATTTGTGATCCATCCAAAACTTGGGTTTTTTTATTAATGCGAAGACAATATTTCTATATATCCTGATGTGCTCCACTGAATGACTAGCCATCATATTGTTCCCACAAGCCAAAGACAAAAACGTCAGCAACCATGTAATTTATGTAATTTAAATAATACTTATCCATGCCTGTACATTTGGTGTGTCCTACACAGGTAGGAAAAATATGTATCTTATTAAATCATTATTATTAAGTATGCCTGCTAATCGTATATGTAATTTATCATATTGTTGATGCCTGTAAACTGGCGTCCCTCATGTACAAAATGAGAATATATTATTTTTGTTATTAAAGTGCTGGTAAGACTAAGAGGCCTGTAATTCGAAGGGCTTTGTCTTGATCCATGTTTGTGGATGGGGGTTACTATGGAATCTTTCCAGTCACCCGATATCACTTCATGTAGGAGAGGTAGCTTGTATATCGTTGTCTGGGTAACGTAGGTGGAAATTTCAGGAGAAATTCACCTCCACTATTGGCGATCGAAAATACTGCAGCATTAAGTATACAGTGTCAGTGAGGATGGTATAACAGACGGTAGATTAATAATAATAGGGTTAACTGGATTCAGTTCTTATGATCACTACGTTTCAGGTGTATAATCATACCATGTAATGAATTAATGCATTAAGTGGAACAGCAAGGAAATTTAAACAAGTAATCGCCTTCTCCAATGCACTGCACTTGAAGCACTCAGGAGAACCACATAAAGTTTTTAGCCTAGCAGTCAGCTAAGCAGACAATGGCACAGTATTAATACAGTTGAGATATTTTTGTACATTGAATTTACACAACTCATAATGCACTGCACCAATCAGTGCAAATATATATGAAGTCCACTTAGAGACAACCTTTCAACTTACCATAATCCCTGTCCAATCACAGATTTTATTTTTTTTTGATTACAGCTTGATTCCACACTGTATTTTTGGTATAAGTATGGAATTTTCAGTGTGTGATATCGGTAGCCCAAATTTTGCGGGCCGACAATGGATATCAGATGTGAATCGGCAGGGGATCGAACCTCGAACCATGTGCATGGTCGGCGAGAGTCCTAACCACTGTGCCACCGACGCACAGTGAAAAGCACATCAACATGATAACTTAGGTTCCCACAGACGATTCGGCCAGCATTTGCAGGTAATTTCCAAGTACTAATAGAATTCTTTTGTCAAAAAGTACTGTTCTTCACACGAAAATAGTCTGCATTGATATCCTGAGACGTGAAATCTTCATTGAATGATACTATGCTGAAAGGTGCAGCTTCTAAATAAAGTAGACTATTTGTGTAGATGACATTACCCTCCAACGATCCTATCTTCCTCATTTTAGCGATATTTCTTTGCAGTCTGCCTGAAACACTAGTCACTGCAACCAATATGCTAAGAGTGTGTCGCAGCCAGATCACATGACGCGGACACCAACATAACTAGCCAGAAAATGGGAATTCCCATCAATCCAGATAACTAATAATACAAGTTTATTAAAATTTATTGACAAAAAAATTTCCAAGCGAAATTTCAACAGAACGTGATATAAAAGTCCAGCCACTTCATATATATGACCTTTATATATAATTAATAAGAAAACCAATGAGAGCGCAAAATGGATGTATATAACTATTAAGTTATAAGAACATAAATCCCTATAATTAAATAGACTCAGGACTGAAACGTAGACTAACCTCAATCAGAATAAACTGATTTAAAGTTAATCTATAGACTTCTGGAGCGTATAACACAACATAAACCAAAATTAAACAATAGCGTGTAAAGTCATCAAGACTTTAAGAGCTCCTCCAGCCAAAGAAGTAGTCATCTACCAAAGATGCGTTCAAAGGCGATTAGACAAATACTAAGACTTTACTGATGTAGAGATGAAAATAAATTGGGGGTTGACTGCATCACTCCTCCATGGTAAAATTGAAGCCAGCATGTTACCTAAACCTGATGTTAAACATTTGTTTTCAGTACCCAATCGCCAAAACAATTAGTTTTGATATTAGTCATTTGACTTCTGACATGAGGCTAGACTTCACAATATTGATTTCATACAACACAAACATATAAGCCGGAATATTTAGCATTGGGAGATTGAAGGGAAGAATGCCCTAGAGAATCTTCAAATTTTGGCCTTGAAGATGGTGAGAGGTGCCCACTCGCTCGAAGGTTTTTATGATTGAATTAGGGTACAGAAAGTCTGATTGATTATGTGGCATATGCTTCAGTGTGCTGTTCTGCCGAATCACATTGTTTTGAACTTCTCAATGAAAATTTAAGGGTTTATGGAGGGAGATCGTGGGTGCTTGGACGAATATAAGGGTGTAATTTTGGAGCCTAGGGCATAATTTAGGATAATGGGGCTTCCAGAGACGGGGATGTTGTATTTCCTCCAACTTTTAGCCTTGATTTCCTAGCTGAATAATGCTAAATAAAAAAGGGCGAAATTAAAGTATCATCCCAGTCGGTTAATGCACATGGGCAAACGTGGGATAAAAGGGTAATCTAGATCGGCAAACACGTGGGCAAAAGATGGTGTAAATGCAACCGATTTTACCCACTTTGGCCACATTTCCCACTTTTTCCTCGTTTTCCCATGTCCAGATAGAATTTGTTTGTCCCACCTTTTCCCAGTTTTCCCACGTAACCCACGTTTTCACCCATTTATCCCATGTGCAGGAATTCAAAATATACCCACTTTTTCCCCGTTTGCCCATGTCATTTTAGAAAACAGCCCACTTATTCCCACTTTTCCCATGTTACAAACGAAAACAGCCCACCTTATCCCACTTTGCCCACATTTAAACGGAAAACTACCCACGTTTTTACCCACATATCCCAGGTCCACAAAAAAAGTAACCGACTGGGATAGCCGAAGTCAAGGTCCTCGCAAAGTTGATCTTCAAGAACCAGTCATATACAGGGAATGATATGATATGTTATCTCAAATCAAATCATGCCTGCGTTTTTGGACTCGGTGAGGGTACATGCGGTTTTCTACCTACCCATGCTTACAATAAGTCTAAACTCATTCTAACCTGTCTGTCTGTGCATCGACAATGAACCTAATATGTACTGAAATAACTGTGGGCGTACCTTAAAAGAGCACTGGACGCTTGATTGTTTCGATGAATCCTTAAAAATAGGATTTGCTGCTGAAGTAATACCTTTAGTTGGCAACAGTAAGAAATAGACACCAAAGTCAAATGGCCTTGTGTGAATCAGTTAGATGGCTCAGCATTTAGGGATTGAGATTTCAAACCTTTTTTCTCCTTCTAGGATACATTTACGAGGTCACCACAAAAAGGTGCTCAAACGGAAGTCTTATAAAATACGTGTCGGATTTAGATTCTCTCACAGAGCGGTCAACTTCTGGAACTTTTAACCTGATTCAGTAGTAACAGCTCTACCAGTGAACGCTTTTAAAAAGAAAATAGATCTCTGCAGCGACATATCGCAAGGATTAACATAGACAACAAAAGCCTTCTATCCTTATAATCTAAATCCGGATTTTGCTCATAATCTTCGTTGCAAGTTTCACCCAGATAATTTAATTCCGATGATACAACGATTAGTCCTCCTAGGCACTACCATTCATACACGCAAATCGAAAGGTTATTCCCAACTATCATCATTAGGCTATAATCATCACAAAGTTAGTTATACTTCTGAATTAGTAGGTTCTACGAGTGGGACTAATTCCATTGAAGGATTCTGGGTCCATCTAAAATGACTTATTGTAAAGGTAAATGGCTCCCTATATGATGTGATGTATACAGCCGTCTAGATTTTTTGCATCAGCATTGGTCTGCAGACACTCCTGTGAGTAACTGGAACCAGTTTCTACGGAATATGAGCGATTTATACTCTGTGTAAATCAGTTCTGTTAGATGTACATCTTATAAATAAATTATTTGTTAAATAAATGCCACTTTCCACATATAAGAATACATTTGGTAGATTCAAGGCCACTTAAATTTGGTGTCTATTCTTTACTATTGCCCTTGAGTGCTTAAATACAGCTGGAAAAATTGTCACTATTCACTGAAATAAGTTTTTTTGTTCTAAAGCAATGCCAGTCAATGATGCATGCATCTGGGCTGAGAGGTCTAAAACAACGCTGAGTAGCAAACCCAGTAGGTTCTGAGCTACCTCTGGAAATGCCCTACAAAAAGCATAGGGTGCTGAACCAGAGCCAGTCATGCTGAAAACCAGCCCTGAGCTCTGATCTGTCCACATAATCAAACCATTTCAGAACAGATTCAGAATATACTCAATATAGAACGTTAGAGTTAGTTCAGAACTAGCGAGATTTAATTCAGCATTATATAATGCTTAGGTATTTACTAGCTACTTTTGCTGCACGTCTAAAGTATTAGGTAGGTTTATGCCCAATAATGGATTCTTGGGGAATTTTGGGAAAATTCTGGGAAAATGCAACATTTTCCCCAAAGGCCCCTAAAATCCCCAGACACGCCAGAATTGTCCCAAATTTTCTATGTAAGGTGGTCAAAACCGTAGAATATTTTCCAAATAGTTGTTAAAGGGGAAAAGTGACGGTTAAATCATAGGGAAATATTAGTGCAATAGTGGTAAAACGCGGGTTAAAATTTGGTTGAATAACGCCAAAAATGGGGATAAATTATGTCATATAACAAAAATTCTCGTATTTACCCCAATGTTGGCCATGCCTGCCATTCCTCCATTACTTACCATCTTTCTATGATTGTGTTAACCCTGAGACCGGTTTTCATTTGAGATTAAGGTCTTTCAAATGATTGCATATACTAGTTTTATTAAGAACACAATATTCAGTGAAGACTGTTTTCAACGAATTTATTATCAAGCTGTACAATTGTATATATATGGTTTTATAAAGAAATTATATCCAGTGAGGGAATTAGGTCAAAGGTGTGAATACATGAAATAATAATGATAATAGTATGAAGTGCAATTAAAATATTTGTGATTATAATCCTGGTTTAATGTCAAGTGGCAAAATAATTAATGTCATATATAGAATAATACACGAGCCGCAAATTGTTTTCTACCTCTGTAAAAGATAAGCCCCCCCCCCGTCGGACCGCCTCCATGTGTATCTACCAGTTCACCTGCTCTTGTGGAGCAAGGTACATTGGCCGTAGTCAGAGAATGCTCTCCACACGGATACGAGAACATATCCCAGCATGGTTTTACTAGGGAGAAAGGAAGTGTGTGCGAAGCTCTATTCTGGAACACCTGATCGACTTCTATTACTCGGTCAACCCTGACCATGATTTCAAGATCATGCTAACTTCCCGCGTTTTCTTCGTTACAGACTTCTAGAGACTGTTGAGGCCTTGGCAATTCATGACTTTAAGTCAGACCTTTGTGTACCAGAGTGTACCATCAATGTGGAACGAAGCCATTATCGTCCCCATCTTTAAAAAGGGTTGACGTAATTCGTGTGACAATCATAGGGGTATCAGTCTCTTACCAGTCGCGTCTAAAATATTGGCTGCTGTCTTGCTTCGCAGACTGTGCAAAATACGTGAAGGATTGATTCGCGAAGAGCAGGCTGGGTTTCGTTCAGGTCGTGGATGCATTGATCATGTGTTCACCCTTCATCAGTTGTTGGAACACCGCCACACGTATTGCAGGCCAACGATCGTTGTGTTTCTTGATATTAGGGCTGCCTTCGATTCGTTGGACAGAACTGTGCTCTGGAACTGTCTGTTAGAGAGAGGTGTACCTGAGAAATTTGTTAACATCCTGAAAGCCCTATACAGAAACACCTCAGGTAGAGTTAGGGCATACAACCAACTATCACCACTGTTCCCAACCAACAGTCGGGTTAGACAGGGTTGCCCAATCTCTCCATTTCTCTTTAACTTTGCCATCGATGACATTCTGGAGTCAGCTCTGAAGGATGTGCGTGAAGGTGGTGTAGATCTGCTACCTGGAGATAGACTTTTCGACCTCGAGTATGCAGACGATATCGTCTTACTGTGCGATAGCATGCAGGCTGCCCAAATCGCACTTAATCAGTTGGCGATCAGTGTCTGTAAGTATGGTATGTGCTTTGCGCCGTCTAAGTGCAAAGTACTGTTACAAGATTGGCAGGAGCCTGTACCTGCACTCACTCTTGCGGGTGAACCGCTTGAAGTTGTTGATAAGTTTGTGTACCTGGGTAGTTGTGTGAGTGCTGGTGGAGGGGTGACGGATGAGATTTCCAACCGTATAATGAAGGCTAGGGTGGCATACATCAACTTGAGCCACCTCTGGCGCCGTCGCGACGTTAGCCTGGCTGTCAAAGGTCGGGTATACAATGCTTCGGTGCGGGCTGCGCTGCTCTACGCCTGTGAAACCTGGCCTCTCCGAGCTGAGGATGTGCGGCGACTCTGCGTGTTCGATCATCGCTGTCTCCGCAGGATTTCTTGCGTTCGATGGCATCATCGCGTGAGTAATTCTGAGGTTCGGCGGCGTGTGTTTGAACAAAGTGGAGATCACCATTCATTGAATGTCGTCATCTGGAAACACCGGCCCCGGTGGCTTGGACATGTGCTCCGAATGTCACCCCAGAGGCTTCCGTACAGGTCTCTGTTCGCTAGCCCTTGGACGGGATGGAAAAGGCGGAGAGGTGGTCAGTCCATGACGTGGCGTCGTGGGATGAAGGACTTTTGTGCTAGATTAGCATCGGTTGGTGTGTCACGACTCCCTGGTTGGGGTCCGAGAGATAGCTCAAATCGATGGCTCGAAACGTTATCGGATATGGCCAAGAATCGTAATCAGTGGCGAATGTGTTGCGATCTCCTTCTTTCTTCCCTTCCCGATGATAGCTAACGAACACTGTTTGAACTTGTTAAGCATGACTGTTTTCCTTCCAGATGAAGTTCTTTATCCGTTCTCTACTTATATATATTTATTCTTTTCCTTCCTTCCTTTTTTTGATCTATGTTGTTTTATTATTATTGTGTGGCGCATCTTTCTTGGTGCCATACTGTACCAAGTTTTTTATGCGTTTAAATAATAATAATATAATAATAAATAAGACCTTTGTGTACAAAAGAAGTATGTACAATCCCTACTTCTGCCTTGGCCGTAGAGGTATAGACATTTATTTATTTTGTTTATTTAGTTATTCCATGTACTTTTCCCTTATTACTTCGGTTATTTTTATTATTATTATTCTCACTCTGAGTCTTTTCCGCTTGACCCACTTGACATTTTAAACCCAAAATTATTAATGTGTACACTTTTTACTTTTACAATTTTGAATTCTATCTTATCAAATTTCACGCCATGTTATGTAACATTTTATATTCATCTACTAATGCTGTAATTATGTACCCCTTTCCAAAATCTATACACCTTATGTATTGTTCTATATATGACATTAATTATTTTGCCACTTGACATTAAACCAGGATTATAATCACAAATATTTTAATTTCATTTCATACTATTATTATTTCATGTATTCACACCTTTGACCTAATTCCCTCACTGGATATAATTTCTTTATAAAACCATATATATACAATTGTACAGCTTGATAATAAATTCGTTGAAAACAGTCTCTTCTCTGATTAGTGTGTTCTTAGTGCTACAATAGTTTTATTATGTCGGGCATTTCTTATAGAAGTCAACACACACGCCTTGGTTACCTGGGAAGTACCTGCCAACGGAAAGCTTTCACAATAGTAATAATAATAGTAGTAGTTATTATTTTGGTAAATGCGTTTATAAACAGTGGAGAATTTTCAGCATGTCTTTGATCAGAAGATATTTCATCCTTGTTCAGGATCTTTAAGTAAATAGTTTACTCATTGGATATTTCCCCTGTTATTTAATAAACTATAATTACTGTTTGAGAATGTATTACATACTGGAATGGAAGTGTTCTGTGTTCATTTTGTTACTTTCTTTTTTTGTTGTTGTTGTAAATCTTTAGATTTTTAAAGTTTCCTGTCTTCACTGATCAGTACTTACTATTTGGAATCCATGTCAAGCAATATCGGACAAGAATTATTTCACTGCGGAGTGTGTAATTTTAAAATTAGATATGATTATAAAGGCGATAGTCCTCCATTCTTCAAGAAGGATGTGAAGTAAATGTGCATTGTATGTACTGAATTAAATTTTTTATAGACTTTTAGAAGAGGCCTATTGTATTCGTGATCCATTCGCGGATGACAATTTAGGCGGGATAATACTCGGTGGAGATTGTAACCGATGCGGCAGATGTGTTTGTGTCTCTCAGGTAGCAATCTGATTAAATCATTTATACATACATACTCACTCACTCACTTTTTAGAGTTGCTCTTCTTACTATCTTAAACGATATTGTCGTAATTGTAGCAAAGATATAAATGATGATTCGGCTTCATAATATCATTATAATGTGTACAAAATTATCTGTATATATTTATGTATGTTGTATCATAAACACACCTGAGTTTTGTACATTATCGTATTTGTTACGTTAAATGGAGTTTATTTTTTATTACATAAAAATTGTTTTTCTTTTCTGTAATGGTCACTGAGGATGGACTTTGTTTGAGTGATTGTATGAGATATGATATCGGTCGGTTAGTGGTCTCATATACAATAGGGTCTTAAAGTAAAAAAATATGTATGTACTCAGGTGCCACTTTGATGTTGGTTAGTGGTCGTCGGGTTTCAATATAACAAGGACCCAACAAGGTATACTGACTGAAACTGATGTTCCCCATTATGGATAAGATTTTATTTTGATAAATCATACAGTGTTGTACAGTAATATTAATACTCTAAAAATACGGTGGAGATATGTGGATGACACTTTCACACACAGTGTTAAAAACAGAAAATATCTCTCTCAGGCTTCTTAATGCATATAAACTCACTAGTAGAGGGAATAAAATTCACATCTGAATCGGAAAATTAACAAAGAGAATTAGCTGAAGTGTTAGATTGTAAAATAAAACGAACAGAAGAAAGTAAACTGCGCACTTGCGTTTATAAAAAGCCAACTCATTCTAATAGATATTTAGACTTTAATTCATCTCATCCGTTATTTGTATGGCGGAGAATAAAAGGCATCTACAGTAGTTTTAGCACATAAGGAGGGGACATCTGAAACCCTGCGTGGAATACCTATTAAAGCATGAATTAGGGTGACATTTAAACCTACAAACTCACTCAAGGACAAGCTATGTAGGTTAAAGGACTCTGTTGACCCAATTAGACAAAATAATTTACAAAATACCCTGCAATGACTGTCAGTTAGGTCAACTATATAGGTCAAACTAGTAGGTGGGTCGTAGTCAAATTGTCGGAACATAAGAATTTGGCTAAAGGAAGAATGGTTGACCCGGAAAAGATAAGTAATTCAGAAAAAAGCTCAGCAATTGCACTTCATGCATTAACACAGAATAGGGTGGGAGAGGGTTAAAATTCGTCGGCGACCTCACCACGTTGAAAGCACCGGTTCTAGTCCGATCACCGAAGTTAAGCAACGTTGGGCCCGATTAGTACTATTGCGTCGGTGGCACAGTGGTTAAGACGCTCGCCAACCATGGACATGGTCCGGGGTTCGATCCCCGGCCACGGAGGCACTCCTTTACCTCGCTAAACCAGTAATAAAATTGGTAAAGAGGAAAGGTTGGGCATGAGACTAGCCACCCCATCCTGTAAAATTAAACACTGCTACAGAAACTTCGAGCCACTAGTTTGAGGCCTTGTATTCCACTGAGAACGTGAAGGAAGTAAAAAAATCTAGGTAGGTGGACAGTGAGAGAGTTTGATTACTGAATCCTGACTGATTCATCGAGTCTACACCCAACACAACACATGCAACAGAAATGACTCAATGCAAATACCATAAATATGCATGGAAGATATTATTACCGCCAGTCAGTCAAATCTGAGAAGGATAATAAATAATCTTTAAATTCTATTTCAATGCAATTCACGTACATGACAACATTCTAAGAAACACTCGTCTTATTTCCCATCTGATTGTATTTGATCAGTAGCACTCATATTATTATTTCTGAATGTACATTATCTCATAATGATTTTTATTCAAATATCTAATCATCAATTCCACACATGTATATAAATGAAAGAAAAAAGTTATGTGAGTGAGTGACTTGATATGATTATGGGTGGCAGTAGTTTGTGCTCGAGACGTGGTCATCAGTTAATATAACTGTACAGCACTGTGTGATTTATCAAAATAAAATCGTATCCATAATGGAGTTATACTCTACCATCACAGTGGCCATGTTTTATTCTTATATCAATAAAACTGATATTCCTCCAGGTCCTATCAAGCGAGAAAGGTTGTTTGGATAGTGTAAGTGGGTTAGCATATGCTGTTTGGGGAAAGCAGGAGAAAGGGTGGAGGGTCTGAGGGCAAAGTTGCCAAATGTGGCTGTGTGACGGCAGTAAGGTGTTTCCTTCAGATGACCAGCAAGCAAGCTATGCTGCTTCTTCTTTGTGAAGAGGCGGTAGGGTGCACCGGTCCAGAAGTTTGTACATTTCAACTTGTGAGAAGATCTCCAACATGCAATTTAAAACAAACTGTATATATGTGTGTGGCTGGCCTTAAAGTGTTATCTCTTGGACTGTGTAGTCAAATAACACTAATGCTTCTTCTGTTTCATGTACTTCATGAAGAATAGATCAACTCTAATGGTGTAGGTGTAGTCGAGAATTAATAACCACACTTCACACGCTTCCATGAACACACACAAAGCTTTTACCCTGCCACCATTCACCTTCCTCATTATTTTGCTCATTTTTCCTTTGTACAGCATCCTGGCTGCGACATCAAATCTATCGGGAGGAGACGAGAGATTCGGTAATGGAATGTTTATTTGCAGTTTGATTTATACACATATAGGGAAATTATGTATACCTTATCTGGAAAGACGTCATTTACTGCACAGATCTTTCATGCTGTGCTGGCTACTTCTGTCCTTTCCTATTGTGTGTGTGTCTCTCTGTCTTCCTTTTCGTGTCTCCCATGTTCGCCTGCACTGGTTCACTGGTTCATTTCCTTCTTCTGGATTCAAATCTTTCTCTCCGCTATTTGATATTTTTGTGCTGTTGAACGTCTCTTTACACACTACTGATGAGTTTTGTCAGTAGCACGCGCCACAATTATTATTTTTTTATTATTGTTCCGTTGGTGGAACACAGGGATTCAACAGAACATCTCCACCTTCCTCTATTTTCAGCTGGGTCCACGATTGCCCAAACTTTCGCATCTTTTCCTCACGCGATCTCCTCCATGTCACTCGAGGACAACCCACTCGTCGTCTCTGCCCATTTGGATTCCACTCAAGGGCTAGGAGCTTGCGATGTCATTCGGTGGTTTTCTCAATGTATCCCGGATCAATCCATCGCCATTTTCTCCTACATAATTGTTGAGCAATCGGCTCACACACCTGTTGGTTTGTTCATAGTCATAGTTTCTTCTTGCTAGTTCTTTCTGGCCAGCATTTGATCTTCAGTAAAGAGCCAGTAAAGGCAGACAGCTATTGATAGAATGTCTGCAACGGGCTGTTGTAAATCCCTTTTAGTGACACGCTAGCCAAGTTTCTGACTCATATATAGAAGGACCGACTTGACATTGGTGTTGAAAATGCGAATTTTGTTCCGTATATTGAGTGTAGAAGATTTCTAAATCTTTGGTTTCAGGTTGATGAAGGCGTATCTTGGCCTTTTCGATTCTGGCTAACTTTTACGTCCTTATTCATTCTGACTGTCTTTGGTTGAAAAAAGATGCTTACTGCCTAGGTAGGTAAAGCTAGGAAGTAACCTCTTTGAAATCTCTCTCGTTGATGGTGATTGGTGCTGCTTGTTGTTGTTGTTATGGTTCGTTGGTTATCTCATTACCTCCATCTTGTTTATGTTTACCTGCGGTCTTGTCTTCGCTGCCTCTTCAGCCATTCTGTTGCTTTTCGTCTGCAGTTATACTTTATTGTTATTTTTATTACCTAGGGTTCCGAATGGAACATAGGGCTTAGTAGGACCGGTTAGTAAACTAGACGAGGTCTAAAGAGATTATATATATATATATATATATATATATATATATATATATTAGTAGACAGAAGACAAGTAGTTCAGCGAAGAGTCTCTTTTCGGCGAATTCATTTTCATAGCTGTACAATCGCAAATATATATGGTTATTTTGTGTGTGTGTATACATTAAATTTGTCAAACGAAGATACAATTATTGCACTCCTTATATGGCCATTATTTCCTTTCTGGCCATATAAGGAGTGCAATAATCGAACATCTCGTCAATACTGGTCATTCCATCTCAACGAACGCCTCCTTCAAAGTAATCTACAAAGTGAAGAACAACCTTCCAAAGACAGTACGATTCCGTCTTCTTTGCATCGCAGAAGCCCTAGCCATCCAGTTGGAGGAACCAGAACTCTGCATACAAAAGAAAATTATCCAACCACTTCTACTCGCATGGTAACTACTCCTTTGATTTGACCTAACTTTTCTTTGTTTGTTTGATTTGACCTTACTTCTGTTTGTATGCTTATTTTTCTAACTTAAAACCCTTGTATAATTCTGTATATTATTTTGTTTCCATGTACACCCTTTGAGCACAACTCATTCATCAAACTATTCATGCCATTACGTAACTCTTATTTAACAATCATTTATGACAACTCATCACTTCTGTTGCTATCCTCTTATCAACATCCAATTCATCTGAACCTACTAATTGTATCTTCGTTTGACAAATTTAATGTATACACACACACAAAATAACCATATATATATGCGATTGTACAGCTATGAAAATGAATTCGCCGAAAAGAGACTCTTCGCTGAACTACTTGTCTTCTGTCTACTAATGTTCGAATGGGAATTATTCATGAATATATGTATATATATAATTACCAAGTGAGATGAACACAAGATTTCGAGCCACGTCCAAGTGCCTTGACTTTACTGTGATGAATGGACCAGTAAAACCTCTTTATTGTGATATCTATTGTTTGAATTATCCTCTTTATCAGTACTGACAAACATCAAACAGGAAGAAGGCTCTTCATTCTATTGTTTCATAAGCCTTCAGACTAAGATGGACTCCTACGTAGTGTACGTATGCTAATTCAAAGTTGGGCAACAAAGTAAAGGCTAGTAGAACAGAGGTTTATGACTGTAATATTAGATTGCCTCCGGAGTATTTAGATATGCTATTCACAAGAATATAGATATACACCACAAATCAGAAATGGAGTACAGTTTGCTAAATTGCGCTACTCACATATAGTACTGCGCATACACTGTTACTTCGACGTTGCTCAGTGATCTAACACTAGTTAGTTGTACTAGCAAACTTCGGAGTCATTCATTTCACCTTGCTGCCAACTTACTGAGTTTTCACAACCAAAGTCATTTTCATCAAAATAAATTATACAACCATTTGCATATAGCCAACAAGGGAAAAATGCTGAGATTTTACTGAATTCTAGTTTAGATCAGATA